CCTCACATTCCTCTCAGCTGCCACAAAGGCCTAACTCCTCACCAGAGTCGAAAGGACGTGTGAGAAGGCAGGCGACTCTGCCCTCTGACCCCATCCAGAACAATGTGCTGCCTGAGGTTGACTACAGGCCCGATGGATACAGGAAAGATGACTTCTGGGAGAACGCTTGGTACCTCAAACCCAAGCCTAAATCAGGAAGGAAGGAGGAGAAAAGAAAGAGCCAGGATGAAGAAGTGGAGGGAGGAGGAGCACATGACAGAGAAGAACCCCGAGTTTTTAAAGAAGAGGAAAGAACATCACATCATGGGCTCAAAACTGTCGACTCAACTGTGAAGAAAGACAAAAGCGGCCGCACAAGGACTATCAGTGATGGACGAAAACATGAGCGGAGAAATGAAGGAAAGGATGTAAAAAAGCACAGGGGGCGCTCTAACGCACAGTCTCCTGTCCTGAGTTTTGATGAACAGACAATGCGTAATGCCAGGAGGAGGCAGTGGGGCAACAGCCAGCACAGAGGCTGCTCCAGGAGGAACCTCAGAGTGGATTTTGCAGATATTGGCTGGAGCGAGTGGGTCATAGCTCCCAAGGCCTTTGAAGCCTACTACTGTGCTGGTACATGTGGATTTCCCATGCCCAAGGTAGGAGCACAACCACATAACTCTATATCATATCATTAAACACAGCATTAACATGTTATGTCGAGTAAATATAGTGTGTTGTTCTTCTCCTTCTATCTACTCAAACTCTCCCAGGTGGTGAGGCCGTCCAACCACGCCACCATCCAAAGCATAGTCCGAGCCGTTGGCATCATCCCTGGGGTTCCTGAGCCCTGCTGCGTCCCAGAAAAGATGAATCCCCTGGCCGTGCTCTACCAGGACGAGTCCAGGAACCCGGTGCTCAAGATTTATCCCAACATGTCCATCCAGTCCTGCTCCTGCAGATAGGAGGGGGGAGGAGGATGAACAGGGTGGATGTGGGGAGAAACGGAAAACAGGACTAACGGAGACAGAACCATACATCTGTTTGTCGAGTGGTTTCTTGTTCCTGGAGAAACAGCGTCACTCTGGCCGTCATTATTCCTCGAGGAACGTAGGCAGTAGAGAAATCACTTCCATCTCTTTTGTCCTGCGGTAGGAGACTTGAAGAGACACATTGTCTGGCATCTGCCTCGGCGAGAGGAACAGAGTCGCACATGTAGAATCAGGGCTCCACATGTCCATGAAGCCCCGGTTGTTTTGATTCTGTTTGAGATAACATTGAGGATTTCATGGACAGGAGCATTTAGAGAATGTTTTCTCTTTTATCTCAGAATATATCAGTTTGTGTTTGTGTTCATGTTTTCTTTGGATACAAAAGCTATAAATATGAGACTTTATCAATGTGTCATCGAGCAGCTTTAGACTGCAACACACAGATGAGAGATTAAGGGACAGATTTCATCATTTTTACATACTGTGTCCAGCTGTTCTTACTTTGGAGCTAATCACACGCCACTGTGTACATACATGCAGCGTTTAATTTGTTTGCAAGACGGGAAGGTTATTGTACATTCTTGCTCTCGAGGAAGTATCCAGTGAATTGTGGAGAGCATCTGGAATCCATTTACACTCGCCACCCCTTCAAGAATATTATACTGAAAACAGAAGAATGTTTCTATTTTGAATGTGACACTTGGTTAAAGATAATTTGTCATGGTTACTAGGTTTTGTATTATTATATTCTAGATGAGATGCTGTACATGTGTATTGTTTAAATTATGAAAAGGTAGCCTTGTGTAAGTTAGAATAAAAAATGTAATTTAATCCAATGCCCCTTGCTGGATATTATTATTTTATACACTTAATTTAAACTGAGTTTGATTCTGGGGGGGATAAGCTAAAATGGCACCAGTGTTCCAAAATAAAAGCAGGAAGGTTCCACTCAAAGAACCAAAATTCCCCTGCAGCCCCTTGAACTCATTATCACCCCCACACCAAAGGCTCAGACGTTTTGTTGTCCGGCAAATAATGTGAGTGATGCGGTCGCGGCGCATTAATGGTTGACAGAGGAAGCAGGCACGCACCAATTAGGACGTCAGCCACTTGAACATCAAAACACGGTGGACTTCCACTTTTTTCTACCCATCTGTCTCCCTCCATTCAAAAGCAGAGCATTTCCAAGTGCAGGATGTTCTCCTTAATAACCCCCCCTCAAAAAAAAACATATACAGATGGTAACAGATAGATGATCTCAACCACTTGAACTCCAGCGCTTGTCACTTTTATTCCCAGGAGGAAGACGCTGACCCGCACGGTGCCTAAACAGTGTGTCAAACTGACAGTGAAATGACAGAGGGAGCCTTGTGATTATTAATCCATTCCTTTGTGGTTGCTTTTGCCTTGAGCAGTGAAAAAGTCAGCAGTGAGCGCCACATCTGTTTACAGACATGCTTTGAAGTTTGCCAAGACTGGACAGTGATGGTGTACTGTTTATACTGCGGCTGAAAATATAAATCGTCTTACACGCAATTGTGCACGAGGAGCTTAAAGAAGGAACCGTCAGTTAGCTGGTATTGTCTTTAAAAACAATCTAGGCCTCTCCTGTTGTCTGCATTATTAGATATACAGAGAATATATAGAGTATTTCATGTTTTACGGTCAGCAATGAATCAAACGGGATTTCATTTGGTTTTTGACACAGAAGTGGAGATCGTAGCATATACACGTTATCGTTTCGTGTCACTGATTTCAGTTCACGCTGGATGTCCTGCTCAACTATAAAATGCGAAGCAACATCTGGACTCTTTGGTCCATCTGTCGCACGTTTTCTTCAGGTCCATGATCAAAACTGTAAACTCAGACGTGTGAACAGTTGGTTTGCCGCAACGGGTTTTAAAAAAATGGCTGAGGGAAATAAAATGCAGTGAAAGCTCCCACCAATCAGAAATATTCAGTTTAGCGCTGACTGACTCATCCGCCACAGTTCCTGAATTTCTGAAAAGTACCATGGGTGATGGGTGTTTGATGAATTGTGAATTAAAGCAGTAAATATGACATTAAAAAAACTAAATCCTTAGAGCTTTAAAATGATCTTTAACCCATATTTCAGGATGAAAGCCAGAGACAGATGAGAGGAGTGAGAGAAAAGCCTCAAAAACCAAAAACCTGGTTCTGTTTTCTCCATTTCGAATGAGTGGAAATGTTCCGCAGCTCGAAGCCTCTTTCACAAATGTACCTTTTTATGGGGTCAATAACCTCCGTTTAAATAACGATGATGACTGTAATTAGGGTTATTATGATTCATGTTTACATTAATAGATTTCTGAGCTTCAAAGTAGGATGACCCAATTGTAACGTATACATCCAGGCTGGTTTTTTCTTTTTCCTCATTTCCTGACTGATCCCTTACACAGTCTGGACCCACAGTCTGCTATTAAAAAGTGAACCCTGTGTCAACCACAATCACAGTCACAGGAGAGTACTTACCACGGTCAGTTCCAGTGGAGAAAACCACAGTAGTCTTAGGTACGTGCACGGGGCCCAATGTACCTAAAAACCGAAACGAGGGAACCAAGAAAAATATTTGTTTTTCCACATGATGACTGTTCAATTAAAGGAGAGCAATACGGCCATTATTAGACAACAGAGGATTTTCTGTCTGGGCTGAATTGGCTCTTTCCTCATGAACTAATGGCTCATAGCTTTAAACAAAGTGACACTGTGCCTCTTTATCATTCATTTAATCACGCAGGCCGCAGGTTATTTGATTCAAAAATCGTATTTTTTCTTCAGAAAGTGAAATAAAATGTTCTTTTAATGGTTATTCATTCAGCCGAGACGTTTATTCTGAAAACATGAAGCTGAATGAGGTTTTAACACTCACTGAAAGATTAGAAACATGTTCCAATGCTCTCCTGGTTTGTTCTCCCAGTTTCCATGTCCTGTGTAGGCCGCAGTCCCACTAATAAAACAAATGAGTAATGATCTCCGCCCGATCATCATCACAAGCAAAACACCCATGACATAAACCTGTTATATTTTACAGAAAATGATAAATGAACCTCCCAGAAGGCACCTGTTGAGAGTCTGATCGGTTGGTGGTTTTGCAGAGACTGAGGGGGATCAAGTCTTTTACTCAAATAAAAGTAGATAACTGCAGCATGGGAGGGTTTTACATCCGTGCTTACATTACAGAGCGCCCAAGCAGGGTCGAGGCTTGACTTTCCCATGAACTTCATGCCTCCTTCCCGCCTCATTTACCTGCAACAGAGACGGCTATTTATGTCCGTGTGTCCGGAGCCTGACCCGAATAGGAGGTAAGTTTAACATCATTGTTGGAGGAAACATAAAATCAGCATTTCAAAGCAGGAGGGCTTGTGTGTAGGCTCCATCCAAGTCTGGTAATGAATACAAAGGTTTTTAAGACTGCAAATTGATTTAATTATTGTGCGGCAGCCAGGAAATTGGCCTCTGGGTGTTTTCCTATTATCTTTTTTTTCCATATAGCATGAAGAAATGCTGGATGAAACATCTCCAACAACATACTGAAATTGAAGTGATGCATCTTGGATCATTCGGCACAGTGTAATCACAACCCAGACAGATGTGGCCACCTCAGGCAATAATGTGGCATTTCTGGACTTCTTGTGGCCAGGAGAAAGATGTGAGCCTGAAGTGACCCACTTCTAAAATAGCAAACGTGGCCAAAATATCCCAAAACAAATGCCAGCCTTTTTTGGCAAAAATGCAGTGCTCTAGGCAGTATTGCTATAGCGTACTTACAGCTCAGATAGGGCAAACAGGAGCAGACCGCCCGAGTGCCATCAATCCAAACGGAATGTGTGCCAGATGAAAGTGTGGCCCAAATCTGGGCCAAAACAATTCAGCAAGCAAACATATTTGATAGACAATTATTTGGAGAAAAATGAAATCTTGGTCTCAGTTGCCGCCTACTGGGACACAAAAAAACGGACACCGTTTCCAATTTGAACCATGATGATGAAAAAATACTCGACACGTGTGTTTGATTTTCATCATTTTAGATTTCAAAACCAATGTGCAAATACACCCAATCCATGTGTTCTGTACCAATCAGAGCAGAGAAAATCTGATGAATAAGAGGGCATGCGTCTGGATATTTATGACAATCATGATCTGTTCTCTGTCTTCCTCCCCTCCTGAGTTCCATAAGGCACAAAAATAACCATCAACCTAATCAACAGGGCTAAAGGACAGACAACACTGCAGTGAGAGCAACACGTACCTCTATCGTCATCTAGTGGACAGGCTGTGGAGGCCATGTCTGTCCGTCTGGCTATTTTCTTTACAGTTACCTACATTCACTGTTATACACCTAGTCTGGGGTATAAACATGTTAAATACGAGCATTATTTGGGAAATAAATACAGTTCCTTATTCCATCCCCTCTCGTCTCAGTTGTGTGAGGTCATGTGTCTGGACAGGTGGTGGCGCTCCCGGAAGTATTCGTGACAGATCGGGCAGGTGAGTTTCTCCTCCCTGCGCCTCCTCACCTGGGACTCCGCCGCGAACTCCTTCTTGTGGTGGGAGCGCATGTGGAAGACGAGGTCGGAGGTCATGCGGAAGGACAGGTTGCACTTGGCGCACCAGTTCTGTACCGACACGGCGAATGAGGTGTACGTCGGCGGGAGGATCGTGAGGGAGGACGCGGTCTGCAGCTGTGCGCCGACGCTCCTGGACCAGTGCTCCGGTGCGTAATGGAAAGTGTTGTTCAGCGCCACCGGGGAGGGTCCACTTTGTAAGTCCCCGCTCAGGATGCTGGACGCCATCAGGTTGTTGTATCCCAAAACGGTCCTCGGGGTGAAAGCGTCGGGCCGCTCCTCTAGGCGGCTAGAGGGGGCTGTTGCAGCGCTGCTGAGATGCGCCTGGGGGTTGATGGGAGAAGTTCTTTTGCTCGGTTTGCAGAAAGCGCTTTTCTGTTCGCCCTGGCTGTGGGACAGGACCAGAGAAAACGCACTGCTGCTGTTTGAGTGCACCTCAGCGCTCTCTGCCATCTCTCTGTCGTGCGTAAAGGTCTCTTTGGCTCCCACCACGTCAACATCATCCTCATCATCATCATCATCAACCTTACATCCTAAATGATCCGGTTTGATCTTATCTCCTTTCTGTTTCCCCGCAGAGGAGGACGCGTCTCCTGTTGCCTGGTCGTAACCTTTAACCAGCTGAGTAATGTTATCATCATTTGAAATATTTGTCTTTTCTAACAGAACTGTTTTCCGGCCTTTGGGATAAAGCGTGTCCTCGTATTTCCTTCTCTTGGGATAAATCTCTGCGTCCTCGTTGCTGCTGGGTTTTTTGTGTTCCAAATCTCTGGCGATGTTGTGGAAATCTGTCACTCGGCGTTGCCTCTTTATTTCCACGTGCTTATGCGCGTAAACCTCGCGGTTCCAGGGGTCACTCTTTACTTGGGTGCAGAGGAAACGACAGTGGGCCAAGAAGGGATACTCGTTCTTGAAGACCTGGTTACATCTGCTACATTTGTACTCTATAAAAGACAAAAAGACAATATAATATATATTTTATGTGACATTTATTGTGGAGTGAAATGCATTTAAGTGTACATCATTACTCAAGTCCGACATAATGACTGCAGCTCACCTTCCCCTGATCCTCTGGTCATGTCTGTGAAGCCCAGGAGGTGAGACAGCTCCTGGTCGTACCACACCAGCAGCTCCTCTTCCTGCCGGATGTCCCGGGTGGTCCGCACGTACAGCTGACCCGCTTTCAGAAAGGCCTCGGTGTTCTGCTCCTCTCCGTTGCGCGCAGCCTGTACGAGCCGTAGCCAGGACAGCACCAGCGCAGAATTACGCATGGCCTCAGGGTCCACCTGTTGACGACAGGAGTCACTGACATTTTTACACCAGCTTCCAAAATACCCCATTTTACTGTATTTTGTTTCCTGCAAACTTGAATTACTAAAAATAATTAAAAGGAAAATTGTTAAATTGAAAAATAAAATTTCTGCAGGTGGCACTTTTAATTCACGTTATTTAAATCATAGTTGGTTGTGGCAGCTTTTATAAAATACAGTCAAAGATATATAAGGCAAATAAATGTGAAGGTTTAAAGTAGAGCCATGGGGATTTCATGAAATGATGGTTACGAAATCACAAGGCTCCTGAAAATATCTAAAATTCAACCAACTAACCAAAGCAAATCTGTTCGGAGTAAAGTTCAAATACATGAACACAAAACTGCGCAACTCACCCTGAACACGTAAGGTTTCGCTCTCCTGTCAAAGGATTTCTGCGCTATGAAGGCGATGGTGTCATAGAAAGTGTTTTGGAGCACACATGGACCGAAGCACGTGCCCGCGGGGATGCTGCGCGTAACGATCACGCTGCTGTAGAGATCCGCTGGATGCTGGAGGAATTTACTGTCACTGGTCCAGATGGACCGAGGCAGGAAACTGTGATCCATCGTCAAACTGTAATAAAAGACAAAGGGCTTAATGTCAAAGATGGAATACATATTAGTATTTCAAGATAAAGTTGAAATCACGAGGCCTGATTCAACAGAATTAGACAGAAATCATGAGAAATATAAGGATTAATTTTCATAATTAAAGTTTGTAAGTGTTTGTTTTATTAGAGGGGTGAAATAAGGCTACACGATATTATTTGTCTGCCATGCCGTTGGATACAGATGCTCGAAACCAACGCTGAATTGTTTTGCGTGCAATGTTGAAAATAATCATTTCTGCCTCTATATGTGTTTTTTTTTCTCCTACTAAAATACGCGTCTCAACTGTGTCGCAGTCGCAGCCGGTGTCGAGGCAAAATGATCTGTAACATCCTTTGTCTCAGTTTTTCACTCGGTTTCTCCTTTTGTCTCCCCATCTGCCGTGGAGACCAACTGCCTCCTGTGCGCGCAGGATAACTTCAATACGTTTTCTCCTAATTTATGAACAATATTAACGCACGGAGCTTGCGAGGCTATTGATTCAGACCTCTGCACAATAAAAAAACTATCTGATCTGAAAGGGTTTCGTCTTTTTTAAATGTTGACAGCTGAGCACGTATGAATGACCTGCAGGTGCCAATCTGAAAATTCCTGTTTTCCTATTATACAATTACATTTGATTGAAAGACTGTACGTGGCAGTGACCAGCAGCAGAGAACCAGTAGTGTTGCATGTGCATGGACTCACCCGGCGGACATGGAGGATGCTGTTGGTGCCGTGATGTGGCAGCAAGTTGCAGCTGGTGCAGTGGACCTCGCTAATGATGATGCGCTCGCGTTCCTTGGTGACGACTTACTTATCCGACTGAATCCTCCTCCGTACTGTCGTCCCCTCTCCTCTCCCACTCCCACTTATTCCCCTCAGAGAGCGCACTGGAGCGTTGCGCATTGATATAAACACGTGCGCGCTCACGCATTCACACACACGCGCGTGCACACACACTCCTTGAATTTCAGACCCTTGGCAAAAGCGCCCTTGTCTGATTTACAGTCCTCTCCACGAAGATGAGAGATGTGGGCGTTAGTGTGGAGGGAGCAGCGATCATTTAATGAATATTTTGGGGTGTGTGTATTAATGTGATTAATTAAAATACAACAAGCATGCTGCTGGCTGACGTGGACATGCTGTTCACCACATGTGACCAAGAGTAATACTGTATATCCAGGTTTTATCATCATATGTCCAAGTCCTTGCTGCGTAATTACGCAATTTAAGGTAAGGCGTTGAACTTCCTGAAGCCACGAAAACAACCTGAGGCAGGAGACCTCACACAGGCCTTCAGCACAGGTCAAATAAAAAATATCTGTTAGTTGATATCTTCACACATCCAAGTATTTGCTGTTTTAAAATGGAAGCCACTCCACATCACCCACTTTGTGCTTCACGCTGTGTGGGGAATCCAAAGACAGTTTTGGTCACGACTCTGGAAACAATGAGCTATACGAGACTCGCACGAGCACTTGAAATGATCCTGGCTAATGTGGGCAAATAGGAAATTGTAAAATTGGCCTCCATTACAAGACATGATGCATGCTGGAATGAGTTTGCCACCGGGCGAATGCATTATTCATAAAGTAAATGTTTCTGTCTAATGAGCGTTTAATGGATTATTCTGGATCAGAGCTTTTATTTGGTTAAATGTCCTGGTCGTTATCGAGCCAACTTTGAGAAGGCTACACACAACACAATCAGTGGGGGAATCCTCAGGTCTGGTTCAATGTGTAATTACACTATGGGCTGAAAAATATATTGTTTTATGTGTGATGACATTTCCTCGACATCCGAACTCTAACATTAGAAAACCTTTCAGCATCGCATCCTGTCCTGGGTCGATTTGCACTAAAGGCCCATGATTAAATTGCGCCTGTCTATGCAGTTCCTCTGTTTGACATGTGGGGGCGAAATGTCTCAGACTATGGATGTCAATTATTTTGGAACTACTCATCCATTTACTGAATTGTTGACTAATCAGAACAAATTATATACTGATGGTTTTATTAAATATGACTTTAAATCATCAACCAAAGCTATTTGTACTATTTTCAATTCTTAATAATGAACCATAAAGAAAAAAATATTGAGAAGATGAAAACTTTGCATCAGACAACTTGAACTTCAGTTTATTCAGCCATTTGTGATACATTTGATAAATGGCCTTATTCTGGTGTTAAAGAAAATTTTAAACAAAATAGACTTAGTGATATTGTTCTCCTTCCTAAAACCCACCATAGGCTACTTTGATATTTTGGTTCCTACACCCCACAGCTGCAGGTTTTCTTATACTGGAACTTTACTTTTAATGACAGTTATATTGAGTTTCGTGCATAAGGATGATACATCATGGCCACCACCATGAATATCATTTATTTTCTGAGAAATCTTTTTTCTAACTTTTATGGATATTGAACTTTTCTGGGCTCAGAGACAAAGGCTCAATATTTTTTTCCTGATTTTTGGAGCAGTATTTTTTTCTCTCAGTAAAAGTGGAGTTTTGAGTCTCTCCTCGGGTGTCGCTCCTCTCCTCCATCCTGCCCTGCTCCATGCAGCGTGTTTTTTTCCCTCTCTCGCCCGAAAGAGAAAGACTTGGCAGAGCCCGGCTCAAACTGAACGAGACTCCTGTTGGCTGAATGCGCGCAACCGAAGAGGACAAAACACCGATGAACCACACGACAGACGCACACAGCCGATTCAGAACCAGTCTGTAGAGGGAACATGTGAAGATTGTTTGGTTGTCAGCGTTGGAGCAGTCAACAGAAACCGGGAAAGATGGCGAGGACGCACACTCGCATGTTCCTCGCCTTGGCTTTGCTGGGAATGTTCTTTCTCGAGGTGTCGGTGAAAGGAGAGCTGCAACAGGCGGAGGAGGAGGTGGAGATGTCCTGTCAGGGAGCCTTCGACCTCTATTTTGTCCTGGACAAGTGAGTGTCCCATTTTATTTATGGCTTTGTTACTTTCTCATCGCTGCGCATTGCCATGCAACCGCCCCAGTGGTTTGGAAACGCGGTGCGCATCAGTCTCCATGTCGGTGTTGTTGTAACGGTGCGAGAAACAAAAAGTAACATACAAGTTTTAACTTTTACCAGAAGTCTAGAAACCACAAGTCCAGACTTTCCTTTTGTCACCTATTACATCATCGGTGCTAAATAAGATAGCAGTTTAATATTTGATGGAATAATTGCGCATCTAAAACCATTTAACCCTCATTGTTTGTCTTGGAGTGCCTTTGAGCACCGGTATATGTGAAGCGTGGGGATAATACTTGTTGGGAGCGCTAGGGTTTTTTCTAGGAGATTTTACCCACGGGATGTGGGCAGGGCGAGCCGGATGGACGGATAGAGTTTCAGGCTGATGACGCCTGCAGCGGACACAGCTGCAGCAGCTGCCCCACACTGGTGCTGTGTGGCCGGGTGATCTTTCAGACTGCTCCAGCCTCCATCCACCGTGAGCCGGACATTTAGTGACGTATAAGCAGGGGCCAGTCCTTATTGTTTTCCTGAAGTAATCAATCTGATTAGGTTGATGTTTCCCTATGGAATAAAGAGATCCAGAACTACATGACATATATTGGTACCAGTATAAGGCATTGTCTTTATAGGGGTGTATAACACTTAAATGTATGATATAAGATATGAATTAAAAGTTGTAAGAACTTTTGGGTTGCTAAGTTAAGAACTAGTGGATAGTGTGCATCTTTCTCCACCATTACTTTCTTTGCGTTTTAGATTTGCTCTTTAATCCACCGGACAGATGTCTTCCCGAAACAGGATATCTGAACTAAAATGTGTTTATCTTACAATTGGAATGTCACTCAGGAGAGTATATACCTCCGCCACAGCCAAACAGTCCCCTTTTGAAACCACATGTAAATTCCCTAGATCTGCATTTGTATCCGGACCAAATTGCTCACACTCATTTATGCCTGTCCCCGAAACACACTTCAAGGAGAGGAAAATATTGAAAAACACCCAAAATTGAATTGATTGTTTCTTTGGTCATCACCCACCCCTCTGCAAAATTTCATAGAAATCGATTGAGTAGTTTTTGCAGAATTTTTCTAGCTATCAAACAATTGCAGAAGAAAACATAACCTCCTTGGCAGAGGTAATATTGAGGCCTACGATGTACAACCACAATTAAAGTACACCGTATAAACCGCTTCATATACAAGTGGTACTACTAACATATATATCTTTAAAAATCTATGCATGAATTTGTTGACCGATGCTTAAATGACCCAATTTCATTTTTGGGGCATGTGTGTCTTTATTTGATAGGAGCCCTCAGAGGGTTGACTGGAAATGAGACGTGACAGAGGAAGAATGTAAAACAAACCAGAGCCTGATTTAGATCTGAGATTCTACGATTACTTAAATCCCTTGGACCTCTAGACGGGCAGCGAGCACATTTTCTAACATTAAACCAACTCTCCATTAACCCTAGATCAGTCTTTGAATATCTTTATGTCATTTTATATGTTAAATCAGCAGCCAACTCGCAGCCACTAACAATTTTTACTTATTAAATCTCATGATATTTTTCTGGCTTCATTGTCAGCAAGGATGTTTTGACCATCTTTTGGGGCTGTGACTGTACGTGACTGTGCCGCTGTTTGTGTCTGCTCACACTATAATTGACATTTCTGTTGTTTCTTAGCTTGAGCTGCAAGGGGAGATTATGCACGTGGACACTGTACAATCAAACATGTTGAAACCTGCTGTGTAAGCAGAGCAAAAGAGTTGGAGGTTGGGGTAGATGAATAACTGGTTATACTGTAATGTCAAAATAATTGAATATTTTTTTGAAAAGAATGACTTAGTGCAGAGCGTGTGTAACATTAGCTAAAATGGCTTACTGTATTACCTTGGCTCTCCACCTATGAGCTGTGAGGACGCGTTGAGTGACATTCTGCTTTTGATGATCTTTCAGACGCGGCGTCTGTCAGCTGCTCTTCAATCTTTACCCTTTTGCTTCAAAAAGTTTAGGAGTCGCCTCAGGAGTGTGGTGAAGTCACGCATGGCCGAGCCAGTGGTTCGCCTGTGTTGTTGGACTGTCTGGACTTGCATGCTCCAGCAGGCCTCCAGGAAGCTGATGATCTTTCTCCTGAGATGGCACCAACTTGTCTGATCTTAAATGATCTAATCTAATGAGAAAATTAAAGAGAAGAATACATGAGGGATGTTTTTAAGTGTCTGCACCCCTCCACAGTTTGACTGTCACACATTTAGCCTTGGCCTCGGTGTCCAGAGCGAAGCATGCTGGGTAAAGAATGTGTGTGCGCTTACTGGAAGCATCACAGTGGACACAGAGTAACGATTAGAAAAACTAAACTACCATCAGTTCCCTACATTCCTACACTCTATGTCTGACCCACACTGAATACCAGGCTGCATTCTTCTGCAAGATCTGGTTTGCCCACAAATAGAATAATAGGTGTTGTGTTTAATGGCTGGGTAAGGAAGAGAGAGATTTGTTTTCATGGATCTAAGTACTGTGCAGGGCAAATATTGCAGCTAAAAGAGACTCTCTCCTCATGCAGACTGAGGAATGCAGGTAGACGGCTGGAGAATAATTGCTGCATTTGTTGAATGATGGCTGTGATTTATTCCATATTATGCTTTTCGGGTTTCCTTTCTTTTTTTCTTGACAGGCAAAATGTTCACAAAGTTCAAAGTCCAGAATGAATCCCTCTCTCACAGAAAATACTGAAATGCCTTTTTTGCATCTCTGGCTTTTTTCTGTACAGTGTCAATGTCACTAATAACATGTAACATGCCCACTTACTATCGTTACCGTGGCTACAGCAGTTTATAGCTGAACAGGAAGCCTTACTAAGTGGTACTAATATATTCGACACACACTCTAGGCAGTCGACCAATCACAAAAGAGCTAGAGATATCCAAATGACCACTATGTGGACACTGTCGTCAAGAATGAAAACTTCCATCCATTCAATATTAATCAGTTAATCAACAAATCATTTGCTCACAGTGGAAATAACTATTAATGGTAATCAAGGTCACCTCCTCCTCAGTTATTCATATGTATAATGTAAATGTCTATGTAAGATGAAGAGCAAATCACATTGACAAGTCACAAAAAACAACACATCACATCTATGTCTAACAAGAAAACACAACGTGAAAAAGGAAAGTACAATGACAAAACACAAATCACATTATTTGTCATTGTATTCCTGATTAATGTTGTGTTGTTTTTGTGGTGTTTTGTGATTTGCACCTTAGGTACAAAGGTAATCCAGTACCTGGCACAGTAAGAAAAACAATTTGACTATGAAGGAAAGTTGGCTCTGGAGACTCCTCATTTAGCACAACATGTATGTTTAAATGAAAGGCCCTCATGAAATTAACCAGCCCACACTTTCACTCCGTTTACGACCCTGTTACACACACACACGCACACAGACAGACACACACACACACACATATAGTTGGTGTATAAGCTTTTTGATGTTGCATCCTCAAATAGACTTGACCCCCTGCTGAGTGTTACTGCAGCGTCTCTGTGTTGTTCATGTCGAAGCCTTTACACTCTGTGGACCCCCAACCTGTTGTCAGACTGGCTGTACTCACTGGGACCATCTGTTCCCCTTCACAGTCACACACACACACACACACACACACACATACATACACACAGAGAAACAGACACTCGCACAAACACCGATTCTACACACACACGCACACGGACACCCAGGCCAGCTGCCTGCTACATGGTCCCTGCTAGAGGCAGACTGCTACATCTGTCCCTGTCTAACCTCAGCCCTCTGGCCCGGCAGCAATTAGCCCCCATTAGCAGCCCCCTGGGAACGGCTTTCATTAAGGAGACGGCCATGTCCTCAGCAGAATGTCGCAGGCTAACCAGCACCTCTCACCACTGACAGGTTACAGTCAGAAGTAAGGCAATGTGACGGGGACTGTGCATTCAGTGGAATGTCCATATTTGTGTAAATGATAGTGGTATTGCAGTTTTACTTACATTTTCTGAAGTTAAAGTAGTCTAATACTAACACCAGCAGATGTTATTGATGCGTTGATGTTTAACACGGTGTTATGTTTACAGTGTTGGCTTTTATATGGTGGCTCTGAAGTGTAAGTCACTGTGGCAAATCACAAAATACAACATCAGTATTCCACCACACATCCCAAAACACAACCGTATTAGCATTTTAACGCAAAAGGTGCCTGCCATCGACAAGCCTCGATCGGTGATGATCGGATGGACACACTGTCTGTGACGTGTTTTCCTGTCTGTAAAAACAGAAACATATGAACAAACTTAATGCTGCATTCAATATAATAGAATCATTTTCATGAACATAATCATAATAGAATCTTTTCTCCTGTGTGTTGCTGTTTCTCAGATCCGGCAGTGTGAAGAATCACTGGAAAGAGATTTACTCCTTTGTAAAGCAGGTGGCAGAGAAGTTTATCAGGTACAAGCAGGATGAGTCGCTCAAGTTTTTGGGAGTTTTTTTTAAATTTTGGGAATATTTTCACTGTTAACTGTGTGTTTGCAGCCCCATGCTGAGAATGTCCTTCATCGTCTTCTCCACACGAGGAAACATCATCATGAAACTGACTGAGAACAGGTAAGAGCCAAACCTGATCAACATCATCACTTCCTGTTTTCTGCGTGGTAATCTCTGTACCTGCACCAGGCTTGGACGTCATTTCTTCTCCAATTTATGTCGTTTTTTTGCAAATTTAATTTCACACTAATTCTATCCAGTGTTTGGCAAAGTATCAATACAAAGCAGTGCATGAGTCTACTGAGGACAACTTTGGCAGGGGACTTACACTTCTCTTGCCAACTCCAACTACTCTCTACACCCTCTTTGTATCTGCTTTACTGGGAATCTTTCCCAATCGTTGTTTTTTCATCAGGCTGTGTGTTTACCCCACAGGGAGGCCATTACTGGAGGCTTAAGAGATCTGAAGGGGGTTATTCCTGGAGGAGACACATTTATGAACTTGGGCCTGGAGATGGTAAGACGGTGTTTAGAGACCCAACACATGTGCAGAGCCAGCCCATCTTAGTCTTTGCCGTGAGATGTGAAATATCCACTGAGGATTAATTGAGTCTCACATCTGGAACGAGAATGAATTAGAAAGGTATGAGGAGCGGCTCAAATTATTTCTGCCTCTAGAAACTGCCAAGCTTTCTGGACACATATTAAAGCAAAGCTGTGTAAAACACAGTGTGATTCTACACGTCCTCATGGTCTGGTTCTCATTTTCATTTCAATCAGAGATTGAGCAACATTTCCAGACAACATCTTAAAATCTAAGAAAAACATAAAAAAAATTCCAGCCAGGTCACGGAAGTGTTCATGTCCCAAAAATGCACGTACCAGTATTCAGTCATGAGCTTTTTCAGACATGAACTCTGGAAATTAGGATCTGGACATTTCCTTTCACACATGAAACAAGCAGCAGGAGATCGTTCAGTTCAAACACGTTCAAAAAAACTGTAAAATGACACGTGGAGCTTGTAGGAGGCAGGACACGATGTATAACTTCTGCTGCAGAAGTCACATGTTTTTGTTATAGCACATTGACAAAAGCATCAGCCCCTATGGCCAAAGGTTTGCAAATCGACATCAACAACGGCATCTACTGCGTTAGTATGGCAGCTTTTTTATCTTAACACACCAATGTTTTATAACAATGCCAACACGTTTCAGTTCATGAATCCATGTTCTGGTCAGTGTATTGACTGAAACTGTACTTGATTTATTTTATAGTTCTTTCACTGGTTCAGAATCAGGACTAACACACACTCTTTGCAATTGCAGGCTAATGCACAGATACATCAAGAGAGGCATGGTAAGCTCCATATAATAAGCTGATTACATTTGCTTCCATGTTTCAGAGAATAATAAAGTTGTTCTGTGTGTTCCTCAGGGACAGCCAGTGTTATCATCGCTCTGACGGATGGAGAACTGAATGACTGGCAGTTTGACACAGCTCAGCGAGAGGTGGGATGTGTTTGTAAAGTCAAGGTGTTGGGGGAGAATTTAACTCTTTTCCAGTGGATGTTGTGGTTTGGTTTTATTGCTGCTCAAGCCCTTTTCACCTCCAACATGTATTGTGCTCCACAAGCTCGACCACTTTCTTTAACCTCATTGCATGCTGGTATATTTGTTCTCCTGCAGGCACAGAGGGCCAGGTCTATGGGAGCAATTGTTTACTGTGTTGGGGTCAAAGAATTCAACCAGACCCAGGTAGGATCTGCAGGAGGATATTGAAGATGTTGCAAATGCTTAAGAAAGCAAAATCAATTTATTTTAATTTTTTTCTTCTTGTATGTTTTTCTAGCTTGCAACTATTGCAGACACGGTGGATCATGTGTTTCCTGTGTGGGGGGGCTTCCAGGCCCTCAGGGGAATCATTGACTCAGTATGACACACACATAGCACATGTATAGTCACACAAAGACCCACACAGAAAGACACACAAAATCTAATTATGTCATTGAATTAACGTCTGACTGTTTTTCTTTCTTCTTCTCTCATCTCTCAGATCATCAAGAAGTCCTGCATTGAGATTCTGGCAGCGGAGCCGTCCAGTGTGTGTGCAGGAGGTAAGAGGTGTGAGGAGGCGCAAGGGTTTCCCCTCTTGTTGAGACACCGGCGCAGTCGCGGTGTGCAATTGTGTAAGATGACAATCATCTGAAGCCTCTGGAGAGGAACATGAGGCCAAGTAATCGCATGGACGCTTATGACTGCGGAGTGACAGAGAGCGTATTGTCATTCACGGCCGGGGGAAAATTAGCATTGCCGCTTCGGCACAGCGTGTGTGCAGGAAAAGAAAGAGGAGGGGTGGTGGGTGTTGGTCAGAGGAATTAGCTGTGAATGTTTAAGCATGGCTGCTTCTCTGGCCTAGTTTGCCACATCGTATATGCTAAATAGTCATTTTGGCATTTTGAACCCGCTCCTCTACCTCACCTCCTCTCCCCACATCCAGCCCCTCTGTAGTAAAAAGCAGAATAACAGCCAAGAACGATTGCGAGACAGAGACTTTATGTGTAGCCAGCTGGATGGATGAGCTCTGACATGACCTTATTAGGACTCACTTAAGAGAGTGCATTTAGAGCTGGGCTACCAGATCAACCAATGTAGATTAACATCTATTATGGGGTATGAAGGACAGGGAAGGATATGAGGAGAGCAGCTGCAGCAGCGTTGCCCTAAAAGGACATAAAAATAAAGAAGAAATTCTAAAGAATCACAGTTGCATGTTCCGTGCAACTGTGATTCACACACTCTTGCTAAAGTCTGAGTGTGTCTCACTCGACATGTGGAAATATACCACTCACCCTCATTATTATTCGATTGATGAGCAGCATAATGGTCAGTGAACTAAGAAGCTGGGCAGCCACTTGAACCAAAACATGATTCTGGCCTAATTAATGAAGACTGTAATGTGCTGAACTTGTGCTTATGGTGCTTTGTTTGACAGGATTGAATTATGTTAAGCTCTTATCTTAGACATCCACTCTGTGGATAAATATACAGAACACATTTCTCTTACTTAAAGCTTATTTTTGAAGTATAATGCAGAATAATGTGATTGTCAAGCACAAACACACGTTAAGCAGGAGTTTGCTTTTATCAACAAGACTGGACTAGATTGTCGAGAGGTTTGACTACAACCATCTGCCCACATCTGTCCATCCTGATGCATTTATACACACATATTATATCCATTCTGACATTTTGCATAGGTGTTATGACAGTCTCTCTGTCTGTCCTCATCTCTGCCTGAGTGTAGTCACATACCATACATGCTCTACAGCAACACACACATGTTCCTTTAACGTTCTCTCACACACACACACACACACACATCTTCGCACATGTACACACATGTCCCTCACACTGATGTGAAGTGACCAGAGCGAGCTGCCTGCAAACAGGCCATCAGACTGGACAGTGAACGTTGGGCTGCACTATCAGACATGACAGCACTGATTTCCCTCACACACACACACGCGTACACTGAGAGGACAGCGTGAGTTGGGCCTTAGATCTAACATGACAGGAGAGATTGCTGCTTTCATTAACGTCTGACCCTTTTCTCCCTGTTGTCCCTTCCTCCTTTGCCCCTCCCTGCCCTTCTCTGTCCCGTCGCACTAACGTGATTGAAGAGCCGCTGTTCGGACAAGCCGTACCCCATCTTCTCCCACACACACACACACACACACACACACACACACACACACAACACGCGTTCAGATGCTTGTACATGTGTACGGTCACACACAGACAAGACATTCATACAAATGTAATCCTCCTCGTCAGACGTTCAGGTGTAGATGTAAGTAGACGTGTGGCCACAGCGGCAGGCAGAAAGCAGAGAGGAGAGGGCAGGAGCATATGTGTTGAGCATGTCAGCAGGGCACCACCAGTCCCTGCCCACCATGTGTCTGACAGCACTGACCTTTTAGTCCATCAAGCCTCAGTGTGTGGAGTGGGTCAGGGTGTGTACACAAGATGCTCAGATTGAGACTTATAGCTGAAACAAGTCTTTAAAGGTCCAGTTTGTAAGACTTAGGTGAAAGGGATCTAATGGCAAAAATTAAATATAAAAAAACCTAGTGATATATTCGCTAGTTTGTTTCCTCTAAATTGTATGAAATTGTTTTCTTTACCCTAGCATGGGCCCTTTATATTTAAATAGTTTATATTTACATCAGGAGTGGGTCTTCTCTATGGAGTAGTCCAGACTGGACAAACTAAACACCTTTTGAGTTTTTATGACAACTGAAGACTACCACAGGTTCTCTTTCATATTTGGAAGGGGAGGGTGAGTTGAGGGGTGTTCAGCTGCAACATGAAACTTCAGCACCGGATGTCACTAAATCTTACACACTGTACCTTTAAATTAGAAGAGCCCGACTAATTTATCAGTTGGTTGATTAAAAATTCTGCCAATACGAGCCTTTCATAGATATATCAGTATGTATTTTGCAAAATAATAATCAAGCAATTTTGTTTGCATTTATGTCAAATAAATAAATGTCTTTACTTAATTCAAGCTCTTTATATTTGGTTGTGTTAGTGTTTTCTTTTTTATAGTGACTTAGAAAAGGGTTTATAGTTAAACTGTATAATATCAGGGCTCAATTACATTTCTTTGTCGTAAGGGTTTGAAAACGGCGTCTTAGGAATCATCTGCAGTTTTTTTAATTTTTTTTTTATGTATATGCTGTATATGGACATGGGACATTTTTTACTTCTGAAAAGTGGCACTAAACTCATCAAATCCATATTTATCGGGCTCTGATAATCAGAGTAATATCTGCCATGATCAGCATTCGGTATTTGTGTGTTGTGTGTGTGTGTGTGTGTGTGTGTGTGCACATGTGCCCTGTTGTTTGACGGTAACGTTGGGTGAAAGGGGGATGACTGCTAACGCAGCCAAGGCACTGAGCATTAGGAATAATTAGTGTCCTCTCATTAAGCTGCATGTTGTTGTGGCTGCAAACAACATATACATATTCATACATCATTAGATTATTAGCCCAGTTTATTTGATATTATGTCGTACACCTATAATTTATGGTTGATCGTTGTGGTGGTGTTTTATATAAAAATTAGGGCAGAGGGAAGGAGAGGACATCGGACATGGTGCACATTAAATGATAAGGCTGTGATGAGATGACTGGTTAATTGGGTGATTTATGTGTGTGCGTGCGTTTGTGTGTCTGTGTCTGTGTCTGTACACGTAAAATCACTATATCTGTAAATTATCATGAACTCACACATGCAGATAAACACAGTTGCATGAGGTCACAGTTGTAGGATATCAAGAATTTGTGTTAAGTGAAATGTAAAATCAAATAACTGTATCATAAACAGTATATGACTTATGCAACTTTTACCTGTTTGAGGGAGCTCAATCTCAGTTTCCGTCTGTCTTGTCCATCACCAGTTTTCCTCTTTAGACACAAATCATTACTCGTCCACATCCTCACAGCATCTGTAAACATGTGATGTGCAGACATCTGTTAAATGATATTTGTTTTCTCCTCTCAGCACCGTCTCAGTGTGTATTTGTATTTATGGCTTTTCATGGCAGCGTGTTTGACCTTTAAGGAGACACTGCCACGTATACACTCACACCCCGTGATGTTTTTATCCAGTGATCTTCACGCTGGAGCTTTAAATGTTAAAGGTGTGGCAAATGTTCACTCCTATTAGCAAGGATAGTGCTAGAGGTAACCTCCGTGCACAGCCAGGGACCACGAACACATGCACGCATGCGCACACACACACACGCACACACACGCATACTGCACACACATGTACACATTCCTCAGAAAAACACAACACAGAATCTACAAGATACACACGTATCCTCATATCCACAAAAATACACACACACACACACACACCATTGTGCCACAGGTAAGGTCAGACCTACATTGACAGTGCCGTGCTGCTGTCAGCCCTGCAGCCATGTTTTTAAGCAAGTGTTTTTCCCCAGTCTCTAACATATGCTGGGTAGCAGCCACATAGACACTGCAGCATATGCTGGCAAGCCTCTGTCAGTGCGCTTTAACAGAGCCTGAGGGAGACGAAAGGTCACACACAAGACTCACACACACAGACACACACAGACACACACAAACCTTGTGGCTACAGCAGAGTCTTAAGATATTTGTGAAGAGCAACACTTTAAGCATTAGCACCACTGGAGCATATTATGGCCTTTCCACACATACACGCACAAGCACACAGATATAAACAAGCAGTAATGAAGCATGAACAAGCCGAGCGCATCAGAGGAACAGGATGGTTGTCAGTACTCAGCCATAATGGGACACTGGAAAACTAGTTCAAACCAAAATTGGGGACTGGTGTTGTGTTTATAGATCTCTCACACACTGAAAATATGGGTCTCACTGTTGTTGTGCATGTCGCTCATCATCTCTGATGCTGCTCGTTCTCTCTGTGTTTTTTGTCTCAGAGCGTTTCCAGGTGGTGGTGAGAGGCAACGGTTTCCTCCACGCCAGAAACACTGATCACGTGCTGTGCAGCTTCAAACTCAATGATACGTACACAGTGGGTGAGTCTGTGACCGTGTGTGTTTCTTGGGATTATGCAAAAACTGCTCGATGGATTATCACAAACTTGACGAAAGGATGATGTATAGCAGAGGGAAGACCCCATTAGATTTCTGTTGCAGATTTAGATCAGAGGGCAGTTTTCACTTTCTTGGGACATTTTTGTGAATTATCTAAAGAAGACAGAGATGTTGATGTCAAAAACTAGGCACATTTAGCAGACTGATATCTGTAAGTTTGTGTGCAGCTTGACTGAATCTAAGGGGACTGTTTAGCCATGACAAAGGGATGTGCTCTCTGAGTGTAATACTAGTGGTGCCGTCTACATTTGTTTGTTATTAAGAAGGATTACGCAAAAACTACTGTTGATTTCTATGAAATGTTTTGGAGGGGTGGGGCAGGACCCAAGGAAACACAAATAAAGGCAGCCCACGATTTTTTCTTTCACTTTCTTCAACAATGTGAAAACTTTTTACATATTCATTTATTTTTAAATTTTAATTGATGTCTCAGATAATAATTTATGGATATTGATGAAAAGAATCAGGCATATTTATGGGGTTCATATTTATGAGTGATCTTGTGAATATAAATGTACTTTCACAAGGGGTCTGTTGGGAAATATGAGCTCTACTGAGTGACATTCTAAAGATTGGGACGTTTACATATGACTTTCTGTTTCCTATTTAGTCTCCTGAGAACATATTGCTGTGGAATATACATCCAAAGTAAAAAAATGTCTGAATTCTGATGGATTTATGTCTTTTGCATGCTTCCTATTACAGAAGACATGCTGTTATACATTAATGTGAGCTTAAATGGATAATGGGAATCTGGTTTGGCTTTCACATCTAAAAAAATGTGGGAAGTGTTTCTACACAACAGATGTTTAAATTTTGAATTCATAAAATGTGATTTTGTTTTTTTCGACTGTGCAGATGAGAGACCAGCTGGAGTGGAGGATACCTTCCTGCTCTGTCCTGCTCCTGTTGTAGAGGAGGTCGGGAGGTAAGCTGCATGTTTCCTTTGGCTCTCACCATCTTTTCGTGCCATCGCCACCATTTATCAACCATTACAGTTGCCCAACCCTTCGTGTGCAGCTGTAACACCGTGAGCTACGTACCCTAGATACTTGCCAGCTACACACAAGTTTGGTGTGGACATAGAAGTCCTTGAACAAATTAGGGCCAAAGTCATCGAGTGTCTGTGATCAATCAGTGTTTGTCACAGCTAACGAAGCCAGACACCAATCACGAGGGGACAACAGGAGCAGAGCCCAGGAACACGACTTAATGAGAGCCTGCTGGAGAGGACTTTCACAACCGCGTGTGTGTATGTGATGTATCCCAATATCAGTCTGACACTTTGGGAGAGAGAAAGTGTGAGCTAAGGCAATTGGGCTGTGTAAAGTTACCTCTGAGGGGCTTCCAGCTTCGCTCCTGGAGATCCAGAGCAGAAGTTTCTCGTGTGGCGGACGTGGCGATGCTGGCGGGCCGAGCTCGGAGAGGACAGAGGCACCGGCTGCATTCCCTGTCCCTGCCGCCTGCAGTCCTGCAAATAATTATACACTCCAGCCTGCGGCCTCAGACACCTTCCAGTCATCATCTGTCTCGTTGCTGTCATTCAGATTTCTAGAGTGATTTGAGCTTGTCTTGTCCGCCAGTGAAAAGTGCTCCTCAGAGATTAGGAAAAAGGAAAACATTTTTTTATTCTGTGGCGATTTAATATTCTGCTGCGACATCTTATATTTTACTCACACCTTATGATAGAAGTAGAAAATAACTGATAGATAAATGTCTGACATAATCACAACACAAAAGTCATTAGAGCCAAATCAATACATTTAAATTGCACAGTCCATCAGGTATCCAGTCCTGTATCGCCTTCATGTCAGTGAGGCTTTGTTGGGCTGCTCCTCCTCAGAGCAGAGAGCATCATTACAAACCACAACGGTGCCTGAAGGAGACATCTTCCATGTAACAGAGGCCCATTAGAGCAGAGTCAGCGCTGCCTAACACCCTGAGTGCTGCTAAAGAGGAAGTCAGCTGTGAATGGCTGGAGGGCCCAAAGAGGAGGCCAACAGCTGGCTGATGAGCTCTGGGCTGCGGAGCGGTGACGTGCACGTATGAAATATGAAGTTATGTTACTGGGACAAAATGATGCTTAGTGTACCACAGTGGGCCAAAATATCACCATCACACAAAACTCTCCCTCTCATCACCCAAGATGATCTGATTTTATATTTGACACAACTTAAAACTATATTTATAACCAGTGGTGGGATGTAACAAGTGCTTTTACTTTATTTCTGTACTTAAGTACATTTTGCATGTATCTGTACTTTACTTATGTAGAATATTATTTTTTATTTATTGTGATACTTTTACTTAGGTGAACAGTTTATAACCATAAATCAACATAATTAATACAGAAACATTTTAGCCATTTATTGAGCAGAAGTTCCGTCTTCTCAAACGTAGAGTAAAACTAAACTAAAAGAAGATTTTTCACTATTTTCTGCCATTTTCCATAACAACTTTCATCAATAGTCAGAATAATCATTAGCTGCTGCCCTGAGATTCACCCCGACATGTCAGATCTCATTATGTGCTTCTGGTTTTGGGGTAGTAACGTCTATACAGGGGGTCTCAGGGACTCCAGCTCCCAGCATCACCTCCTCACCCAAACCCCAAAGATCCTCAATCCACTCCTGTTCCACCCGAGCCTTGTCGCATATAATGAAGTCATTGACGCTGCTGTCACACAAATCTGTGTTGACTGGGAACCTTCCGGATGCAGCTAACCCCCCTCCCCCCTACACACACACACAGGGTAAAGACATACATAAATATATATAGGCTATAGTGGGCAGATTGATGATTGATAGGGGCTGAGATCTCTGTGTCAGAGAGAAGCTGATAGCCCTGTGTCCCCCCCTGCCCGCCTACCAAAGAGGAGGGCTAAGCGGCGATGGGAAAAGAAGAGGGGGTTTGAAAAGGGGAGGGAGGGAGAAGTAGAAAAAGATGAGCGGCACCTGCGATGTCAATTTCCTACTCTGGAGTCGGTGTGAGTTATGAGTCGAGCTGCAGTGGTATGAGGAGGATGCAGGGAGGTGGGGGTGGGGAGGGACAGTGCTTAGGGGATGTTGAACAGGAAGGGCCCCTCCTCCTACCATCCCCCACGCTGTTTCCTCTCCTCTGTCCCCCCCCACCCCACACACACACACAACACACACCCTGCAGTGACCTCCCCTTTGTCGCCCCTCTCCTCAAATCTAAACCCAGAGCTCAATGGCACCCTTGTCTCTGCCCCCTCTCCCTACCCCAGACCACAACCAGAAGCCTCTCTCCACTCTTTTCCAGAACCCAGAACTACAATCCAGAGGCTAAATCTGCAGCCGGTGTCTTATTTTTCCTCATATTTCTGAAGAACTTGATAATTAACCTGTCAACTAAGTGTCTTTTTCCACACAATCCCTGGGGTAGGCCAGTGTGTATAGCATCTTTGGCCATCTAGTCATCTTCCCCCTCATCTCTTTTCCTTCACTGCCCTTCCTGCAGATATATCAGCAGCTAACACTGGAGGAGAAAAAGTAATTTAGCTGTCTGTGGTTTCCGCATTAGAGGTCTGGGTCTGATCCAAACAGAAGAGATTCCTTCTGTGGGTGGAGAACTCCCTGACCTCTGAGAAGACTCTTTTTTTTTTGTCTGCATCAGCGTGTTTATGTTTGGCTTTTTTATGGCAGCAAGTACGGACAGAATAGATTGAGGAAAGTATCCAACACCTGGGGCGAGATTACAGTAGCTGAAAAATGAGGCCGGGACTGGATGCACGCGAAGCAGATGTGCACTGAAATGTGTGACTGCAATTCTGGCTGCTGTCAGACATGCACACAACTCCCTGACATTCTCCGGAGGATCTGTGTGTGAGAATCCAAATATCTCAAGACCCTTAGGACTTTCTCTGGATTTTCGCAGGCCAGCCCCCCTAATAAAAATAAAATAAAGATAATATTCGAATGAGAACAACAAACAGCAGGAGGTTCTCTGAAGGATTTTCCACGAGCGAGTGTGTCAATGATGTTTGAAAAAAAACAAAAAGAAAATAAAGAACTCAGGATGAACAAGAGGTGCCACACACATAGAAGACACAGATGAAGATGTCAGGAGAGCTTTTGTTGATAAGGGTTGATGCTGCGATCTCCACACGTTAAATCCTCTTCTGCTGCGTTCTTCATGCGTGAAAGGCAAACTGAGGAAAGCCTGGCCCGTACTGTGCAGACATCCTCCAGAGGTCATGTCTGAACCGGGGTTTTGTCTGAGGATCTGCGTCTGTGTTTTGCAGGGTGATCTATCTGCAGGTGAGCATGAACGAGGGCCTCTCCTACATCACCAGCTCTGTCCACATCACCACCACTGAATGTGTGAGTACACCCCGTGTTTAAAAGCCGCACAGTGATTCTTCCTTCTTAGCACGCTGCCCCTATTTGAATAATCTTTCTTTCAACCTTCTTATTTTCTCTCGGCTCTCCAGTCTTCTGTCCTTCCTCTCTGACGTCTCCTCTGTTGTGTCTGTCATCAGAGGAGGCTGTGAGTACTGTCACTTTTCATTTTCACCTTTTTCTCCTCCCGTGTCTTTCACTTCGGTTTAGTCCTCATCCCATTATTCTGTGTGTGTGTGTGTAGTTTGACGGCACCATCGTGTTGATATCGTTGCTGGTGGTCTTCCTGCTGTTGGCTCTGCTGCTGATGTGGTGGTTCTGGCCTCTCTGCTGCACTGTGGTAGGTTTACATCTCAGACATGAAAGTCTCAGCCTGGTAGTTAGATTAAATTGTCATTTCACGCTGACCCTATTCAGACCAGGTATTAACATCTGTCTGAGTGGTCCGACATCCTGAAAGTGAGATCCAATCCTTCAGACCACATTCGGAGGTGACTCTGGAACGCACGTATGACTCTGCTGTCGTCCTCCACATTTTCACAATGAATCAAACATATGCTTTATGCCTCTCAGTGACCATATGCTGATCTGTTTGTGGCCAACTCCGAAATATAAACACCACCGAACTTAGAGCCTTTATTCTATTTGAATTGTTGTGAGAATAAAGTTGATAAGTCAGAGTTCAGGAGCCAGGCTGAAGTATTTGAGCTTTGTTTCATGTTTTATTTACCTGACACTGATGTTTTCTTTTCAATATTCAGGTTATCAAAGAACCTCCACCACCCCCACCTCCAGAGCCTGTAAGTCACCAGCTACATCAATGTTTTCTGTTTCTGTCTAACAAAAATAAAAGCGATTGTGACAGTAGTAGTATTAGTGTTGCTAAGACTGAGGTCTGACTCACAGGAGTCGGATGATGAGGATGGGATGCCAAAGAAGAGGTGGCCCACAGTGGACGCATCTTACTACGGTGGAAGAGGAGTGGGTGGCATCAAACGCATGGAGGTACCTACACACAAACCCAACTTTCAACAACTGAAACACTTAAAGAATGTTGGTATTTAAATATTACTTTTACTTTATCATTCCTAGGTGCGATGGGGGGAGAAGGGCTCCACTGAGGAGGGTGCGAAGCTGGACAAACCGAAAAACGCAGTTGTGAAGATGCCAGAGCAGGAATTTGAACCATATGAGCCCAAACCTCGAAAATCACCCCGCCGCCCCCCACAGCAGAGGAGGTGGTACACACCCATTCAGGTGAGTTTTTATGTCCCTGCCTTTAGGAGCTAAATGCATATTTACGGTTACTGTTTTCTTACCTGGAGATCTTCTTGTTTTCTTCCAGGGGAAGCTGGACGCTCTGTGGGCTCTGTTCAGGAGAGGTTACGACCAAGTGTCTCTGATGAGACCGCACCCCGGGGACCAGGTGAGGCCGCCGTCTCTCCACTACCGTGACATTTCCTGTAACATATGTATAAAATCAGATTGAGCAGAAACAACAGGCATAATGAGTGACAGAAAACTGTAATTGGGTAATTATGTGTTATTTGGGGGATGGCTCTGTGAGTAAGAACCACTTAAAAGCTTTTGAATTGCAAGGGGCGATGGTACGGGAGGTTTTGGAAAGAGTTGTTTTGTCTCTGTCTCCTTGTCTGAGTCTGTCACACGGCATGAAGACAACACGTGTCAGTCAGCAAAATGTACGGCATGATCTTCAACACAGCAGCCTTTACACACACACACACACA